GGCGCGGCGTGCGGGTCGGGAACAGAATGAAAATACGCAGAACAGAATGAAAATTTAATGTACGTATGAAACAAAGTTCGCTACAGAGAATCACTCACCGATTGCTTATGGAAACTAAGTTACTCAGATCAGGATTTGAATAGGGCACAGTAAGACAGAATTATGATGAGAAACAACATATTCATGAGGCCTTTTAATACTGTTCATTCTTTATTCTGGGTGAAGTAGAGACACTAAAAATAAAGATAATGGTGCATATCTGTAAATGCAACAAATTAAGACTCCACTTATGTTTCATATCTTTAGTTTATTTTACAACTTTAAGAAAGCATTACTTTCCTATATGCGTAATTTCCTAGGCCTTTAAATAAGGGAGAAATTCCACCATGCTCAAATTATATCAAGACTTATCAGCAGAATCAGAGCCTTTAGCCCTATCGCAAAAACCTCTTCCACTTCTACTAATGGATGTTAATGGCCTATTGCCATACAAATCTGCACCTTTCCTCTGGCTTTCAGAAATTTTTGTTGACAGCAATAAATGGTGAGACTGAAAAAATCATGGATCCTCTCAGCATTCTGAGAAGGAACATTTCTAACAGGCTGATTCTTCTGCCAACTTCTTCATCTCTTTCTTCCCAATCTGTCACTGCTTCAGTCCTGCCTGTTCTCTGTAGCAGGCTCTTTGCTTCAAATTGCTTCTCTTCACCTATGCAGTTCTCATCTGTCAGGAGATTTAACAGCTCACTACTGCCACATGGGGAAGGTCACACTACCTCCCCCATTAACACACCCCCCCAATTCTAGTAGTTTGCTCTCCCAAGACCCCTTTGTGAGATCATTCAATTTGCTAGCTGCTCCAACAGGCTTCTGCTGCTGAGCTGGCTCGTGGAAGAGCTCCACAAGCACTAAAGATGGAAAGCAGAGGAGTGGCAGAACCATGATGACAGGAGTGCAACCTCCCTCTTTGGGCAGCTCTGTTTTGTGATGCTGCACACACAGCTTAATCTCCCCAGACTTCACTTCATTCTTAGTATTTTTGCCATAACTTCAGGCTTTGATTTCTTTACCACCCAGTTCCAGTACTCCCACAGTTCCTGTCTTGACTGATTTCTCTTTTTCACCCTCAGTGTATCACACACAACACGTTCTTCATCTGCTTTGGTCTCTGTGATCCAAGCTCCTTGCTCAGTCTCCCACTTTCCCCTCCCCTTGTTCTTTATTCAGCTGGTTCCTACTTTCTTGCTGCATGCAGCTTCCTTGCAGGTAAAGTTCTCCCTCTTCTTCCTCTGTTTCTCGTATCTGATTAATTATCAGTTCCTGTTTCTTCCTGGATGTTCTTCTCTGCTGAAGTCTTTTGTTTCCTCATGATTATCTACCTCATCTCCTCACCTTGTCCCCATTTCTCCCACTGGCTCTCAGTCTCTCCCTAGTATTACAAGAAGTCATCTTCTTTCTTACCTCCCTGCCAACAGCAGGCTCCTGAACTCCCACCAGTTCTTCTCCACCTGACATTTGATTCTTCTTCCACAAGAGCCACGAATACTGTTAAGTGACAGCGTCAGAGAGCTTCTCGTAGTTCAAGCACCTCTTCAGACCTACCTACTCTTTTCAGTACTCCCAAAATGCAGTTTCTTGAACCATCTTCTTGCGCAACATGGAGTCAAAACTTCAGAATAACTGAGTGTGAAAAATAAACAGCCTTCGCTGAACATGTGTGGTCTGGAGCAGAGGCCTTATGAGGAGCAGCTGAGGGAACTGGGGTTGTTTAGTCTGGAGAAGAGGAGGCTGAGGGGAGACCTTATCATTCTCTACAACTACCTGAAAGGAGGGTGTAGTGAGGTGGGTCTTGGTCTGTTCTCCCAAGTAGCTAGCAATAGGACGAGAGGAAATGGGCTCAAGCTGTGCCAGGGGAGGTTTAGATTGGATATTAGGAAAAATTTCTTCACGGAAAGGGTGGTCAAGCATTGGAACAGGCTGCCCAGAGAGATGGTGGAGTCACCATCCCTGGAAGTGTTCAAAAAACGGGTAGACCTGGCACTTGGGGACATGGTTTAGTCTAGTCTACCCTTGATTGGTTTAGTGTGGACTTGGTAATGTTAGGTTAATGGTTGGACTGGATGATCTTAAACGTCTTTTCCAACCTAAACGATTCTATGATTCTATGATTGTGACCTTTCCTCTACCCCCCA